CCTCCCCCCCCCCCAGGCCCCCCCCCCCCACCCCAGACAGCCCAACGGAAGATCAGGGAAATCGTGCAGCAGGTGAAGCAGCAGGAGCAGAAACACGCTCAGGGAGCCCCGGCCTCGCAGCACAGCAAGTGAGGCTCCCACCTGGTCCTGCCTGATGAATGTAACCCCTGCTGCCCCCCCCCCAGGGCAACAAACCAAAGAACAGCCCCCCCACCCCTCCTACACACAGCTTGGGGGGCTGCAAGGATGGGTGTGGGGATGGGGGGGCTCCCACCATCCCTCCCCAAGCTTCCCCTTTCCAACCTCTCAACACTCTTCTCTTTAGCTGGGCTAACGTGGGCAGAGAGAGAAAGAGAAAGGGATGTTGGGGGGGTTTAATTACTTCTTAATTTCCTCCAAGTCACCCATGTCATCCCAGAGGATGATCCCACCCAGCCTGCGGTGGGGGGGAAGGGAAGGGGGGAGTCACTCATCCATTTTAGAATTCATCTATCAATTGTGAAACTAACACGGGTTTGGGGTTTTTTTTTTAAGTTTTATAAGAGTATTTTTATATGATCATTTTCTTTTTTGTTTCAATTTCAGAGGGCTCGGGAGTTTGGGGGGGGGGTTGTTTTTAGCTCAAAACCAGCTTTTCTAGAGGTTTCATGAGAGGAGCTTAGACCCTTGGTCCTCTAATGCAGAGCAGAGATGTAGGATTGCCAGATGGGGGTGAAAAAAGTGATTAAATGAGTGTTAAAAAGCAATTTCTGAAGGGTTTTGAGGAGAGCAGTGCCCTGTCTGAACCACCAGAAGGGATATTATGTCCTAAAAGAGGAATTTCTCCTTTCACACCCCTTTCCTCTTTGCTTCACAGAGCCCAGAACTGGGCTCTGCAACTATTCCTGTCCCCTCTGTCACCTCTCTCTCTCTCTCTCTCTCTCTCTCCATCACTGCCCAACCCAACCAGCCCCTTAGAAAAAGCTGGAAGCTTTGGGCAAAGATTTCCCTGTTACAGGGGGGAAAAAGGGGAGGCTGGAATAAGAAAAAACCAAACAGATTCACAAGAGGAAAAGAAAAAAAATCAAATAGCAAAGTGATTTTTTTTAAATGAAAAACAAATGAACAACCTGACACACACACAGACAAGAACTACCTCAGGTTTTCGTACCTCAGCACCTTGAGCTTGTTGATCCCCCTTTGAGGAGATGTTTTTTTGTATGCCTTGTAAAACTGAAGAGTTGGAGCTTTCTTTTTTAATTATTTTTTTAATAAAAAAATGAGTTGGAAAAAAAAAAAAGCAACAAAAAAAAAGAAGAATAAAATGATCTCAACCCAAGGGAGAAGGAAAATCACCCTCCGTGTCCTAGAGCTCTGCTGTAATAAGTCTCCTGCTCAGCCACTTCTTTGGAGTAAAGCTTGAGAAATGTTTAAAATTAAAAAAAAAAGCCACAGAACAAAAGCTAAAGCTTAGAAAAATGAAGGTAGAAAGAAGAAAAAGCCACCCAGTGGAAGGGGTGAAAAGAAAAAAAAAAAAGTGATGGGCAAGGAGGGCTGGGAGCAGGGGTTGGGGCCTGTGTTGCCCCACTGTGTTTTTTCCTCGATGGTAAAAATGGCTTTGAAACAAAACACCCCCAAAAAAATGAAAATAAGAGAAATATATCCAGCTACCAAGAGCCTGAGCTTGCTCTCTGTTCTTTCTTTCCAAGTGCCTTGCATTGGTCATGGCCAAGCTGAGCTTGAGGGGTTGGAAGGGGTGGGTTCCTGCATGGCCATCCCATTTCCCTGCCTCTGGGGGGGCTGGAGTTGTTGCTGCTGGGGGAAGGGGGTGGGTTTGGGGGGGTAAGGTGGCATTTGGAGGGGTGGCTGGGGCAGGATTGTTTTCAGGCCTTGCCCAGGATGACTTTTTACCCAGCTGCTTTGGAGAGGTGTTGCCCTGGTGCAGCTGCCTCTCAGCAGGTAGTTAGCAAAGCCCAGATGGTGGCAGGTGGGGCTGGTGACACCATCTCATTTGAATATTGGGACTCCTGAACCAGCTCCAGGGCAGTACCCAGGGGGGTAGAAGAAAAGAAGTGGGGTAAAAAAGGAGAGTAGAGAAGAAGGGGGTAAAAAGAAGGGGGTGAAGAAGAAGAAGAAGGGGGTGAAAAAGAAGAAGAGGGTGAAGAAGAGGGGCAAAGAAGAGGGAGTGAGAAGGAAAGAAGAGGAAAGAAAAAAAAAAGGTAAGTAAAAAAAAAAAAGGTAAGTTAAAAAAAAAACCCAACCCTGAAATCCTGCTCCAGTTCTGGAGTGCAACCTGAAGGTAAGAAAACCAAACAAAAGGTGTAAACACCATGTTGAGAGACTCACCCAGCTGAACCATTATCCTGATTGTGCCTTCAGGGCTGTGTAACAATCACTGAGAGGCTTTTGTGCTGATCCTTGACTCTGGGAGCTAAAAACCACATGGATACAGGGAACTTTCTTTTCAATTTAAAAAAGTCACTTAATGGAAATTATAAAATAATTTTTTAAAAAAACACAACACCCCAACAAGTACCATAAGGCTCTTCATATAACTTAGATCTTTATTTTAAGAAAAATAAATAAATTCTTCTATTTTCACATTAAATAACTCCCTGGAAACAGAAAGAACCCAAAGAAAACCAACCCCAACCACACAGTCTTTGTTCAGTATGAAAAGATGGGAAAGTCTGTGCTCCTGCTGCCTGCTCAGGTAAGAGAATTAGAAGAGAAACGAAATTTTAAGTCACCCTGAGGTGATCACAGTGTTGCTCCAATAGTTCCTTTCTCACAGCAGCTGCTGATGGATTATTTCCCATGCCATCCTCATGCGGAAGTACGGCATGTGGCTCTGGAGAGAAACACCCGGGAGATGGAAAGTCATGGCAGGAAGAGGCAGAAAAGATGCATCCAGTGAATTCTTTCAGGTGAAATTCCTTGGAAAAGCTGTCAGCACTTGGTACAATGGGAGTTGTCCCTCCTCAGAGCCCAACCACCCAACACAACCAGGGTTGCTTGACTGCACAGCAGCTCACAAGCAGTGGGTTGGGCAATAACCAGTGTCTTCACTGGCCAAAGGGGGAAACCCGTTTCTCCAGATAGAATCATAGGATGTTGGGGTTGGAAGGGACCTTGAGATCATCTAGTCCAACCCCCTTGCCAAAGCACGTGGGGCTGTTACAGAAACAAACAGCAGGATGGGCTGGGAGAGTTGGGGTGTTCAGCCTGGAGAAGAGAAGGCTCCAGGGAGACCTTAGAGCAGCTTCCAGTGCCTGAAGGGGCTCCAGGAAAGCTGGGGAGGGACTTGGGACAAGGGCAGGGAGGGAGAGGACAAGGGGGAAGGGATGAAAACTGGAAGAGGGGAGATTGAGGTGAGACATGAGGAGGAAATTCTTTGTTGTAAGGGTGGTGAGAGCCTGGCCCAGGTTGCCCAGGGAAGCTGTGGCTGCCCCATCCCTGGCAGTGTTGAAGGGCAGGTTGGATGGGGCTTGGAGCAACCTGGGCTGGTGGGAGGTGTCCCTGCCCATGCAGTGAGCGGGACTGGATGATCTTGAAGGTCCCTTCCAACCCAAACCAGTCTGGGATTCTGTGATTCTGGCTGCAGTATCTTGCCCCAGTGGAATCTCACTGACCCAACTCGGGAGCAGACACCAGATCCAACCCTGCCCTGCTGAGCCCACTTTGAAGTTCCAACCCCAACAACCATGCACCAAAAAATGGAGAGAGGTACAAACCTCAGCCCCTGCCCCAGATAAAATTAGCAGCTGCTGTGGAATTCCTGTACCTGGGTGAAACAGGAGTGTTAGCAACAGCCACTCACCTGTGTAAAGTTGATTTGCTTGTCTCTGGAGATATAATCTGCATATTTGCACATGAACACTCCACAGTCACTTCCATTGTCTTGCTGAGGGATTTCCTAAGGAATGCAAAGAGGGGGAATTTTCCTCTCAAAAGAAAAGCAACCTGACAGTAGCAGACAGGAGCCACATCACCCTAATCAGGCTCTCCTGAACCTGCTCCCATAACACACTCACTCCTCCTGCTCCCAGGGAACAGCCCCAACTCCCTGCACACCAGCCTTGGCTGTTCCAAGCCCACCAGGAGGGATCTCAGCCTCCCTCCCTGCAGGGTGACCTGAGGTTTGCAGTGGCATTTCTTCAATCATCTCTTCCAAGAATGCTTTTTACTGTTCACTTGTTAAGAAACATCAGCTCAACTGTTTGCTAGGGACATTGGACAGGGGCTTGTAGGGAGAGGACAAGGGGGAAGGGATGAAAACTGGCAGAGGGGAGATTGAGGTGAGACATGAGGAGGGAATTGTGGAGTGTGAGGGTGGTGAGAGCCTGGCCCAGGTTGCCCAGGGAAGCTGTGGCTGCCCCATCCCTGGCAGTGTTGAAGGGCAGGTTGGATGGGGCTTGGAGCAACCTGGGCTGGTGGGAGGTGTCCCTGCCCATGCAGGGAGCAGGATCTGGATGATCTTTGAGGTGTCCTCCATCCCAATCCACTCTGTGATTCTATGTTTCCATGCCAGGATTTGTACTCCAAACAAGATTATCCCAAATCCAAACCTGATTTTCAAAGCCTGGGTTTTTTTCTTAACAACACTCACAGATCCTTCAATTTGACTTACAAAATGGGGGCAAAAGCTGATTCAACTTAAGACTCAAACCCCAAAGTTTTCAGCCAGCAAGGAGAGGCCCTGCTTAAAGATTCCACCCCAGCATGGTTTCCTGCTCCTCCTGCAGCCTGAGGTGGTACCAGAAGAACACATGGTGCTTATGGATGTTCCCTAAAGGCTTTGGACTTCTTAGGAAGTGTTAAGAGTGTGAGGGTGTTGATAGCCGGGCCCAGGTGGCCCAGGGAAGCTGTGGCTGCCCCATCCCTGGCAGTGTTGAAGGGCAGGTTGGATGGGGCTTGGAGCAACCTGGGCTGGTGGGAGGTGTCCCTGCCCATGCAGGGAGCAGGATCTGGATGATCTTTGAGGTGTCCTCCATCCCAATCCACTCTGTGATTCTATGTTTCCATGCCAGGATTTGTACTCCAAACAAGATTATCCCAAATCCAAACCTGATTTTCAAAGCCTGGGTTTTTTTCTTAACAACACTCACAGATCCTTCAATTTGACTTACAAAATGGGGGCAAAAGCTGATTCAACTTAAGACTCAAACCCCAAAGTTTTCAGCCAGCAAGGAGAGGCCCTGCTTAAAGATTCCACCCCAGCATGGTTTCCTGCTCCTCCTGCAGCCTGAGGTGGTACCAGAAGAACACATGGTGCTTATGGATGTTCCCTAAAGGCTTTGGACTTCTTAGGAAGTGTTAAGAGCTTTGTGACAAAGAACTAAGAGTTGACATTCCAGTGGTGCTCACATACATGTGGCTCCATGCTGTGAAGGGTCCACTCTGAACGAGTCAGCTCCAGATGTCTTCTCACCCAGCTTTCTTCTTGCAGGTATTGGCTGTTGAAAACAAAACCAAACCAGTTTTCATCTCCATGGTTTTGGGGCAACAACAACAACAAGAGGTGCTGAAGGATGACAGGAAGCTGAATGGCCAGAGTGTAAAAAGTCAGAGGATTCTCACAGCAGCTGATTTAAGGAATTTGGAGGAAAAATCCAAATTTTAAATGGTTGGCAAGCTACTGGTTAGGAAGGAGACCAACATTTCCAACATAAGCTTCCACAAAAGCTTAAGGTCATTGCTTAGTAGAGGTCAAAAAAAAACCACACCAAAACCAGACATTATCAGAGAAAAACCAAGCAAAGATCCATAAAACCATCATTTCCCAAAGTGTCTTAATCCCACCTGGTGGCTGCACCTCCAGAGGAACAAATGCACAAGTTTTTGGGCCAGTATCTCTGGCTGAGGAAGTTCCCAGGGCACCAGCTGCTGGAAGAATACTCTTGAGGAACATGCTATTCTATGTAGGCCTGTTCTTATAGCCCTCCCCAGGAGTCTGTTAACTGGTCAGGAGAGCAGAGGAGTGGAACACCACTCGGTTTGTCTCTAGGAGTGCTCTCCTGCTCTTGGTCCTACTAAGTTGTTGTATTAAGAGGTTCTATTGCTTCTGTGTCAGTGGCAAAGACACCTAAGGATGGTGGTTGGTACAAGGGGGGAGCCTGAACCCCTGGCAGAGCTTGCTACAGGAGATCTGTGTTGAAGGAGAATGGAAGAAATAGAAATAACCCACAGTGAGGAGAGGAAGGTGGGCAGCTGGAGGGA